TTTCGCGCCAGTCCAGAATATTTCGGCCGACACGGCGGCGCGCGGCCACGCGATCGAGTCAAGGTTCTGCGCGTCGGACTGCTCGGTCCAGAGGAGCTGCTGGCCTGCGTTCAAAGTAAATTAAATTAGGCGAGATAATTATGAGGTGGGGCCACGCTTACCGCCGAGGACGAGGTGGGCTTGGGCCGCGCTGATGTTGGCGAGGGGGTTGAAGGTGTAGGACTGCACTCGGTTAAATTGAAGCAGGCGCGAGTTTCGCCGTATGATTCACCTTCTGCCACGTCTTGAAGGGGTCGCACCAACTGTTACTGTTGACCGTGTTGCGTGTTAGCTTGCCTCTGAGGGAGAGGATAAAAAGAAACCAACCCAGTCGGATCCTTGCCTATCCATTCTCCGGCGCCACAGTCCTAATTGTGGCATCAAGTGTTGAGAATCAGTCGGTCGAGGGATGCCACAGAACACTGACCAGATAGAAGTAATCCGACGGCGCATGAACGAACCGGAAGTTCTTCGCGGCGACGGCGGCCGCATTCGCGCTCGAAATCCACACCATGACGACCGTTTCGTTCGAGAGCGTTACAGTATGGTCTAAAACCATTTCTGATTCGAGGCCGCTTCTCAATGAATTGCTTAAGAGGAGGTGTTGAGAACCAACCAACCTTCCCAGACCACGGGTGTCTTCCCAAGCTTGGCCAGTGCGCCGTGTGTCGCCTGCGTGAAACTGTTCAGCGCTTGTTCCACTGTCTTTCCGGCCTTCTTGAGATCCGACTGGGTTTGCGCGTCTTTCGCATAACATCTGTCGAGGCGCAATGAACATAAAATGGATCGCAACGCGAGTGGGTTCACTAACTCGGTGTTCAACTCGTCGCCGCCGGTGCTGAAGTATTTCGACGGCATGACTCGGGCAGCTGCGGTGAAGAGGTTCGCGGTGAAATTGACCGTAGCCGGTGTGGCAAGACGCAGTTGTCCAGCTATAAGGAGAGGAAGTATCAGTGCGGAATCTCAAAATATAGTTGGATCTCACCCGGCGGTTCGTTAGCGAAGTCAGTCCACGGCGACGCTTGACTGCAGGCGATGTGTTCTGGGTGCGACTCCGCGATAATTGCCGTGTGGCCCGGGCTGTCGATTTCCTGTTCGACTTCTCAGCGCCAGTCAGAGTAAAATGAAATAACGCTGACCATAATAACGTCGATGCCGTGCTGTTGCGGGGAGTCAGCGGGTTCAAAGTGACACGGGGAGACGCACTGCTGCGGCGTGGGATACCACATCCTGGACGTCGGCCGGGCTGTAGATTTCACTCGCCGAATATGCACCTTTCTGCGCGAGTTCAGGGAACTCGGGCAAAACAAGCGACCAGCTTTGCGAGTCTGTGATGTGCCAGTGGAATATGTTGATCTGACATGGTCAGCACAAACGACGCATCCAAGGCCAGCGAGCTACCTTGACCCAGCTCATGGCATCCAGAGTGCGCTTGATGTCAGCGACGGGGAAGCTGCACCGAATTTAGGTTCGAATAACTTTAGAACAGAAGTACTTGCAAGTTCCGCGAAGTGTCGAGCATAAATCCGCGATACGGCTACCGGACACCCAAATGAGATTGTGAAGGGTCCTCGAAGGGCGGGAGCGACATACATAAGCGGGGACATCCTTAACTATGCTCACTGGTCCCACATTCGTGTACGTCACGTCGTCGAAATCGTACCAGAACTGGCTGAAGGTAGTCAGGCCGCGGAAGAGCCCCAGCGTCGAGTTCGCGGACAGCACGGCGGGCTTGCCATCGCTGGGGATGGATAGTGTGTATCCCTCCGAGCGATTGGCGACATCTTTGATTGCCTCAGCCGAGATTGAGAGTACAGGCTGCGTGTTTTGCAGCGTCAACGTCAAGCTGGGGAGGACAGCAGCAGCTTTGACAGCGTCGGCATCGGAGGAGCCACGGCCAGGGACAAGGCGCTGCATTGGCAATGCAAGTCAGCGGGTTCGATGAGACGATGCGAGAGCAGAGACCTGGAGCTTATCCGTTCCAAGATAGCCCTTTGTCTCCGCAACGGCGTTGAGAAGATCCTGAGGGGGATTCGGCACGTTGACGTTAATGGTGAACGTCGGCGAGAGAACAACAAAGTCGGTCCCTGTTTTCAACGTTGCTGGAATGGGCCATAAAGCGCGAGCCTGGGGAGTCAACGCTGCCAGCAAGAGAGGGATGCTGTAGCGCATCGGTGGGTGGCAAGAGGTTGTGGTGGCTTCGAAAGAACCGCGGACACCGCATGCACGGAGTGATCCAAAACCCCATGACTTGCTTCGCGAGAGGTCACAAATGTGACCGACCAAGTACGCGACGTGATTTGGGGATGTACGTCTCCAGGATATCTGGACGCGTATATTGTAGTGCATTGTACGAACGGCGCTAATATCCGGACCATGTCTGTCGTCCGAATTTCATACCAAACGGAACTGGCACAATTTATAACCGTGAACTAAGTAAGTAGTATGTAGGTATGTCTTGACCAGTGTGGCGAAATGAAGCTGTTGTCCTTTGAGACGCGCCGGGGAACAAGAATGGGAGATGGTCAGCTCGAGAACGCAGTTTACCTCCCCTGAATTCCTGCCGCGAATGTGTTTCCGCTGTGGGGAGGAGACAGCGGGCAGAGACGTGGAGCTTGCGATAGAAGCCTTGGCCAAGTCGAACGCTCTTGATAGGCCGAAGCTATGAAACCTCGCCTTTGTCTTTGCTGACCTAAGAAACTACGTAGTGGAGTGTCGCAAAACTACAAAGTTCCCAAAATTTGAACCGTGGGAACCCAGACGGACAATGCCGAAAGTGGTTGACTTTTCGGTTGAATAAGACCACAAAAAATGCCTTTTATCTAAAGGTCCATCTACGGTAAGTATAAATGTCCATAATTCACGCCGACTCGCGACCCGCATTAAACTCGCTTCCGCTGCTTCCCCGGCTGTGCGTCTTTTCGGTGACATACGCATCCCGCTTGGGCCCAAGGAGTCTCCCTGGGTGCGCGAAGTTGATCGTGAATATCGCGAGAATGACCATCCCCCCATCGAGCACGTTGAAGTAGACCTCCGTGTGGATGACGCGTCCGTTCCACCCGTCCGCGAGCTCAACGGTACGGTAGATCGAGCTGTATCAAGGTGAGTACGAAGGTAACTCGAGAATGAGCTCAGTCGGACGCACCGAACGAAGAGAATGAGGGTGGAGAACGCCAGGGCGCCGATCATTGTTTTGAGGTTCGCGTCCATCACGCCGCGGTCCGAGGTTTCGCGCGGGCGGACAGGGAGGTCCTTGTGATACCGCCGGAGGACGTCGGCGGCGAGGATCGAGTAGGTGATGATAGCGCCGGACTGGAATACTATGCCTGCCAACATGATGTTCGCACCCTGGGAGCAGGTCAGTAATGGTGCATCGGGACCGTGCACAGAGACGAACGAGGTTGGCACCGGATAGCGTGGCGGCACTGGATGCGATCCCGCCGCCTGCGCCCTGGATGACGAGGGCGAATATATCCTGTGGATACGTGAGCTACATGTGCGGCGTTCACAAAGCAGGGCACTTACACAAGAGACGAAAATAATTGTGTCTGGATCGCGAATGAGCACCGGCGCGAATAAATCAGTCTAGTACGCACACCAAATGGGCCTGAGGCGCGAATAGCTGGGCCCCAGACGCGTCACGATCCACGACAGCAGGATGAAGTTCACTGCGATGAGCGGCGTCGGGGAAAGGATTGTCGAAGTAATTCTAAAATCATGAACGCCTCAATAAGATGCTAACGGCGAAGGAGACGAAGCAACACGCACTGCATCATGAACGGGTTGTCGAGGCTCGGCGAAAAAGAGGACCAGAGGCGGCCACTCCAGCCAACCAGTTCGCCGATTCCGCAAAGGCAGGCGGTGGGGAAGAGCCACCACATCCGGTAGTACGTTGCTTGCCCGATGTGCAGGACTGCCGCAGAGGTTAGAACTCAGGAAAGAAAGTAAGAAAGTCGACGATAATAAACCTACTCGTGCTGATCCCGAACAATACGATGAAGATTATCGCAACGGATTCGTGCGGGAGGTAGCCGTATTGCGAGTCCTCCACATCCGTCGGACCGGATCGCTGGAAAAGTTGAACTAGGAGGAGTCAGTCCGCGTTTGAGTCCGGCGAAGGATTGGTGTATTACTTATTGAAGTCATGAGGAGAGGGGAGTGAAGGAAAAGAAAACTGAAGTTCAAGAGAAATTGAGACCTCCTTTTATGGATGCAGGTCTCGTTAACCGGGCAGTGCCTGGGAACTATAAGGAAGAGATGCGCAGTGATCGCAGTAATCGCAGCAACTTTTGGCATTTGCATAAGAATCAGAAAGATACCTCAAGACACAGCATTCGCGTCCCAATCCCGTTTGGAACGACGTCTTTTGAGGGCGGCGACGTGACTCAGGAGTGTATACGGTCCATGTCGCTGGCGTAGGGGTCATTTGCGCACTCGATGACTCGACTACCGGTACCCTCGCAGTGGGATTTATTCCAACGGCCTACAGGATCGAGCTCAGCCAAGACATAACGAAGTTTGGAGGATCGACAACGAGCGTGTAGTTCCAAATGCGGCCAGAAGAATTAATTGCGCAGCGGTTTCAACGTGAAGTTCGACCGTCATTCAGGTGAAACCTTCCGGAAGCTGTTGTGTCCCTCTGGCAGACTACTCCGTCTTGAATTTGTCGGTACGAAGGCAGAAGTAGGGTAATTTGAGTCCAGGTAGAGTCGTCCATTGAGATTTGACACAAGTCTGTTGAGATTTGGTGAGCGTCCTAAGATGATGAACCTGGGTCCGTCGGTTGGACTTGATCCGTCGGGGAGGGTCGAAGAACATCCGAGGCACTATAGCCCCTTTCGGCCTTAGTGCAATTTTTGCTCGAGTATGAGTCGGGTGCGGCTTCAAAAAAATCCCTAGCGTTCCTAGGGTTTAAAAGAATGAATCCAGACGTTCCTGGGACGAGGAAAAAGGATTAAAACTGACTACCGCAGGGGTCGAACCTGCAATCTCCTGATGTACCACGTTGCGTCGTAGTCAGACGCGATGCCATTTCGCCAGGCGGCCGTGGAAGTACAAGGAATCGATCATTCCACAAGCCCTGTTCACAGCGTTTGACCTACGACTCTGAGCTCGATGGACTCGTTTGAGGCGATACTGGAGCGCAGGTTGAGAGGAGGAGCAGTCCCTGTCGGAGGACTGGCCTCGAGAGACAAGCAAATGAAGAAAGCAGGCTAAGGCGGCCCAGAAGTTCGTGTTGCAGTGAAGACAGACTGCAGGTACGCGTCATTCGGGCAGAAGTTCCATTGCCGCACAGTGCTCCGTCGAACAAGATGCAGGGAGACACTCGAGGTGAAAGCAAGAGGCAAGGTCCATTCACGACGCCACAGCCAAACAACGCCAACTCACGGGTCACGAATCACAGCGTGACTCTCGTAGCACCCGCCACCTTGGCCGCCATTACCGTCCTCGCCAGCCACCATGGACCGGCTCGAATCCCTGGGCTCGACCCTCTCCCAGATCACGCTGTACGACATTAAAAGCATGTACAACCAGGTCTGTCTCGACTCTCTCGATTTTCCTCAGAAATACTAATGCACCACATTTTCGACTCTCCAGGCGAAAAATGTCGTGCTGAATGTCAGTGAGATCGAGGCAAAGGTCCGAGAGGCCACAAACGACGAGCCATGGTGAGTATTTTGCCATAAAGAGAGCAAATCTGGGGACCACGATCGGCTGCGAAATTTGGCTCGACGGCTGCTTGGCAACAACGTGAGCTGGTGCTGGAAAGCAGACAGCACATTGTGCGGGTCACAGATGTCCGCTGAGAGCCGTAGCCTCGTCCTTCTTTGCCCACTACGCGCCTTTGCTGGTGCATTGACCATTTCCGGAAATCTAAACGTATTTCTCAGGGGAGCGAGCTCGACTCTCATGCAAGATATAGCAAACCGGTGCGTGTCTATCATGCCCCACAAACCCTCTACCTAAACTTTGGCACAGAACGTTCAACTAGTATGCCTCCAAATCTACACCTTTCCGGCAGTACCTAATGAATGACCAGCCCCGACTTCAATGAAATCATGCCCAGCATATACGCACGTTTCATGGAAAAGGAAGCACGTCAATGGCGCCAGATCTACAAGGCGCGTCACCTCTGCCCGTGAACCAGGTCTTGCCAAGCTAACCTCCTGCAGGCCCTGCAACTCCTCGAATACCTCATCAAGAATGGTTCTGAGCGCGTGGTGGACGACGCCCGCTCGCACGTCTCCACCATCAAAATGCTCCGCAACTTCCACTACATCGACGAGAAGGGCAAGGACGAGGGGATCAACGGTATGTGTGTCCATGACACGTCGATATCCCCGCTAAAGCGCGCTCATAATCTAGTCCGCAACCGCTCCCGCGAGCTGGTAGAGCTGCTCTCGGACGTGGACAAGATCCGCGGTGAGCGGCGAAAGGCGAAGGCGAATAAGCACAAGTACACTGGCACAGGCCACGACGGTGGCATGTCCTTTACCAGCGACACTGGCGGGCGGTACGGGGGCTTCGGCAGCGACAGTCTCGGCGGCGGAGGTGGAGGGGGAGGGTACAGTGGTGGCGGGAATGGTATGCGTTTATACTATCTTCCCTGAAAATACTGACGAGCGCACAGACTACTACAACGGCGGTGGAAGCTCCAGCGGCGGAGGAGGCGGGGGCGGGTCCTCCGGTGGATTCAGAGACGAGCGTCGCCCTGGTGGTGGCTTCGACGAGTACAATGCTGGCGATGACGAGATCGGCGTGGTCAACAGCGGCCGAACGGCGTCGCCAGTTAACAACCGACGCTCGGCCCCTCCCCGGAAACCATCTGCGCCTGCACCACCTCCACCCCCGCCTGCCCCTCCGGTCAACCTGTTCGACGACGACGACGACGGTTTCGTGTCGGCCCCGCTGCCACCGCCTGCCGCCAAAGTGCTGCCTCAACCTGTGAAGCCCGCAGCTCCCTTCAATGCCCTCGACGGTGCGTTTGTCACTTTTGGCTTCTTTTAGTTTTGCTCAGCACTTTCCCGACTAGACGACGACTTTGACGACTTCCAGGCCGCGCCGGTGCAGCCCGGCCCTGCTGCGCCCGCTCCCTTCGGCGGGATGGCCCCGCCAGTGGCCGCCACGAAGCCGAACCTGCAAGACCTGTTCCAGTCGACGCCTGTCGTTGCGCCGACCCCGCCGCGCACCGGGATGGGAATGGGTATGGGTGCTGGCATGGGAATGGGAATGGGCATGGGTATGGGCGCCCAGCAGCAGCAGCAACGAGGCCACAGCTACACCGGCTCCGTGTCCTCCCAAACCCAAGCTCCCAACTACAGCGGCATGACGCCCATGGCCCCCGCCCAGCCCGTGCGCTCCTCCACCCTCTCCACCCCCGGCGCGCCGGCGACGCCCAACAAGCCCGCGGCGAGCTTCGACGACCTGTGGTCCATGTCGCTTGGGTCGGGCGCTGTGAAGCCCGCGACGCCCGGCGCGGGTGGTGCGGGTGGGAAGAGCATCAAGGATCTGGAGAAGGAGAAGGTGACGGCGGGGCTCTGGGGATCGGGGGCGGGGACGGGGACGGGACAGAAGGCGCAGCCCGCGATGATGGGAAGTGGGATGGGCATGGGCATGGGAGGTATGGGCGGGGGAGCCTCGTCGGGGTTCTCGTCGTCCTCTGGGCTCGACGATTTGCTCGGATAAACGTGGCGCGGATAGTTGGCGCGGTACATATTATCGTGTCTGTCTGGATAATATTTTATTTTTTCCTCCTGTTCCAACGCGCCCGTTGATGTTTTCAGCTTGGTGGTCGCAGTGGCAACTGCCCATTCTTACAACCCCGCGGTGAAAAGACGAGGCCACTCTGCTCTTCTACGCATGAATTTACTCGAAAACTGGAAGAGACAAGGTCCGGAATATCGGGGTCAGCAATTTACAAGTTGGTTGTTTCTCGCTTTCTTAGGATGTTCAACGAGGAAGGAGGAAGGACGCAGAGGACCCGTACAGGAAATACATGTCCAGATAATCACTCTCGAGTCTCGTCAAAGAGTCGTCTACATAGGGCGGCCTCAATGTCCCCCAGTGCTGCGCGAATGAAGGTTCTGGGAAGACGATGCGTTGCTTGAGTTGTGGCCTATCTATCTGAGTCCACCTTGAAGGTAACCCGTCCTCCATTTTGCGCGGCAAATCCCGCGTGTTTAAGCGTGCTCACGGGATCGCGTTCGGCCGCCTTCCCACCACCACATCGACCCCCACAGCTTTTTGCATGTCTTCCATCGCTGTACCAGAACCGGAGCCAGACGGTTCGGAGTGAACAAGAAGCCGCGCCTGCCCAGGGTCTTGAAGAGTACGCAGCAAGCTATATCCAGCCCGCTTTCACTCACCTTGAATCTCCAGTGAACTCCAGCTTTGTCCGGTGTCTCGAGGCCAACCCAGACATAAGCGGCGTCGGCGTTCGCGTCTCCTTTTACGTCCAGACGATAGCATTGGGTGCGCAATATTATTATACCTCTCGTCCTGAGACTAACGCTGAAAAAATTCCTGCAGTGCTCCTCGCAGGCCGCTCCCTCCCAGAGGCCCTCAACTCCGTCTGGACCCTCCTTGGTACAAGCCTCGGCCTCACCGTGTCCGCGCTGGCCACCGCCGTCCGCAACGAGCTCCCTTTGTACCAGGCCATAATCGTCACCGACCTCGTATGGCTCGCAAACTGGGCCATCTTCATGGCGCTCGCGACCTACAACCGCCACCCGCGCGGCTCGCTCGCGGTGCAATACGCCGCCATCGGCCAGACGTGCATCTCCATGGCCTGCATTCTCTACCTCTGGGCGCGCGCCCCGGCGCTCGAGTTCGAGGGGCACGCAGGGCAGACGGTGTTCATCGTCCTCTTCATATCGACGAGTGCGACTGGTACGGGGCGCCTCGTCGCCCTCGTCGTTACCACGCTCATGTTCGTCGGGTACGCCATCGTCGCCGCGGCCTTTCTCTACCGCCATCTTCCCCACACCCTCGAGCGCCAAAAGGCTCGCGCGTCGAGTCCCACGCAAGCAGCGACGTCGAGCTCTCCAGCGCCCCGCCTCCCCCCGTCCCTCGCCGCCGACCCCCACCTGGTCATCCTCGGTCTCTTCATCGGCCTTCCCTACCTCATCACCCTCGGCAGCACCGAGCTTCAAATCCACCGCAACGTCCTGTGCCCCGAGAACACCTTCTGGGGATTCGGGCAGGTGCGTTTTATGCCCAATGAGTTATCCAGTCTGTTGAGCTGATGTCGACGCCGTAGATCCTAGCAATGACAGTGACAATCGTCCCCGTCGTCGTCACCATCCAAGCATTCCGCAAATACGGCCTCAAACAGCGCCCCCGCGTCCTCCCAGAATCATCTAGCGGAGCAGACATTGTCTAATCTAATCCTTCTCTTGTATCTTCCTTGAAACCTGTATTTTGACAAACTGTATGTATGTACATTGGGAAACTGGAAACGATAGCGTGCTCTAAAACTACACAATGCAAGTAAATCAAAAGTCCTGCTGTATATTACACTTTTTGCGACGAAAACTGGGTGATGCATGCAGAGCCTCTAACGGCGTCCACTCCTCCCCACTCCCACTCCTTCCCTGTCGACGCTCACCCCTTGCCAGCACCCGAGCCCGGGCCCGAGCCCGAGCCTGACCCAGCAGCCGCCCGCCCTTCAGGCAAATCAAACGTGACGCTCTTCCCCACCTCCTCCCCGCCCTCCCCGCCCCCACTTTCCTCGCCAGAAATCGGGCCCGGCGACTGCACCAGCACATCCTCCCCAAACACCCCCGCCCTCGGCGTACTCGCCCCGCTCCCCCCGCCCCCGCCCCCGGGCTCGGCGAACCTTACCGACCTCGCAGGCGACGCCTCCCTCGACGCCCGCGCCGACTGCAGCCGCAGGCTATCGACGCGCGAGCGGCGGCCCTGCCTGCCAGACCCGGAGAGGTCCGCGCGCGAAGACGACGATGTGGACAAGCCCGGGCGGCGGTTGGGGTAAGGGTAAGAGTAGGCGTAGTCCGTCGAGGCGAGCTGCGGCGCCGAATCCGTCGTCG